ATGACCGCAGCCCCACAAGTCTCTTTTGTGGCGTGCCCACGAAGGCCCTCCCCGTGTGTGGGGCCTGAACACATGTTCTCAGGACTTTTAAAAAAGGCGAGATCCACACGGTGACAGTGACAAGGCCTCCTTGAAGGCCAGTACGTCAGTTCAACAGTTATATACATTTCCCTTAATCCATCCACACAAAGGCACGGTACGCATCCCCTCAAAGCCGCATTCGTCACGTATCCGCACAATTTTCACAGGTCTCCGGCACGGTTCCCCCGCACACCAAAATTTCTATTCCTGCCGAGCAAAGGAAGGCTTTGGCAACCGAGGCATCAACCGCCTGCAAGACGCTGTTAACTGCCTCATTGCACTCAATGAGCTCAGCCCCAGTGAAGATGAAACGTGGAAGCGGTCCAACGTCATCCATGCGTCTGCTGACCATCTGCCAGTACTAATCTTGGTCCTCTGCAGGCTGATGGCGCGTCCTCCACGCACACATCGCTCTTGTCAGAGCAATTCATAACGGTGAGATTGGTCTTAATCTCTCCTCACCAATTCTTTGAGTTTATTTCCGTTTGGGGATGTCACCACAGCCATGTCCCATGCAGCGGGCGGCAATTGTGACGATGGCGGTGTTGTCTTCGCTCCCACATGGTAAATAATACACCCCTTCATCCCACGCTGCAACAAATTCTCACAACCGTGTGGATATAGTCCTCATCCTCGTGCTCTGACACCGTATGGGTGGCCTTGTCAAACGCGTGCGCCAACTCTCCTCCAAAGCAGTACACAACCACATTGAGTTCCGCGACATCGCAGTGCAGCAGCCGGCAGAGGAGGTGAGAGCCTGCCGCCCCATCGGCGTCCCAATCCCATCGGTCCCAAGCAGAAAAATTGGTTTCACCTAAAAAAAAAAAAAAGTTGGCCCGCGAGTGTCGAACAAGTCGAGCAGATTCAATTTGACGCTCAACCACACCCGACCCGCCTCAGCAGTAATGCAGCAGTCGGTAAGAGCCGTTCCCTCCTGCAGCGAACGCAGTCACCCCTTCTCGGAGGTGAGCACAATCACTCGTGGACGTGGTGAGCAGAATTACGCTTTACTGTCATCGCCCTCAAAAATTGAGGGCCGCAGCTCGCAATTCCACATTTCTTGCGATTATTGGCCTTCGGCCTCTTTCACCTCCATCCGCACCGCCCCTTCGCCCTCAGGAAACCCCAAGAAGCTGCTCCACCTCGAGTTCAACACAGAGCCGCAGGGTCCCTCCGGCAACGGTCGTCTGCCATTTTCCCTACTCTGCGCACTCTGTTCCCTCCACTCCCCAGCGCTCGTCTGAGTGGTGCTGAATGCCGCCATCAGCCTCTGGCCCTGCCGGACGCCTTCCTCTCTGTGGCACATTAGTTTTATGACTCCTCAGTGCCGTGAAATCTTTCCTCGCGTCTCACCGGCATTCCTTCCTTGATTATCTTGTTTTCCTTCATAGTGATGGTTGGTTTGAGCTGCAGCTGAACACCAACCACCAAACAAAAGGGAGAATGAAATAAACGGACAAAATAGGCACATACATGAGTGCACGCAGTCGCAACGAAAAC